ATAATTAGTAATATAAAATTATAGTTTAATAATTAGCAATTAATAACGTAATATTATAATTTAATAATTAGTAATTAGTAATTTGATATTATGGTTTAATATTGTAATTTAATACTGCAATTAAATACAGTAGTTTCATATCGTATTTGTACGTCGAAACATTTCGAATAATATTGTCACACCCAGATGAAACATTCCCACCCTCGACGTTATCAAGATATTCATCGAACTGTCCTCAGAAGTTTTCTCAAACCTACCTCGGATCAAAATCCCAATGAGACTTACCAGAATCCAAATTAACTTCGTTAGGGATCAGCCGAAGCTGCCACGAAATTATGTAAATTTGCATTACAAGCCGGGGGACAAGATTTTCGTCTGATCTGGATCGGAATTCCTCCAGTTACCAAGTTCGGATCCGACTCCTAGACCTCCGAAAGAAGTGGAAGTCGACCGGTCGTGCGAGGTTCTCCTTATCGACGCGAGCTGGCCCGTCTTCGGGCCGCTCGTGGGCCTGAAATAGCGTCTTCGGGCCCACCTCGTGCCTTCCCAGCGTCCACCATCGAAAAAGAAACGTAACCCTAGACGTATCGTGGTGTCATGTCCCGCGCACCTGGCGGCCTCGTTCTTTGTAACACGATACACGCGTTTCTTCTTCTTCTTCTTCTTCGTCTTCTTCTTTGTCGTTGTCGTCGTCGTCGTCATCGTCGCCCCTGCTGCCGTTGCATCTTTCCTCTTCCTCTTCTACTTCATCGGTGCCTTCTTCTTCGCTGTCACGCTCGCTTCGCGTCACGGACACGAAGTGTATCGATTGGAATGACGAGAAAAGAAATGCTCAGTGCTAATTAGTCGTCGGGAGACTTCCAAGGCCGGTCCCACGAATTTCTGGATCGGCTGGAAGCTGCCCGGTCTTTTCACACTAATTAACTCTCGTACGATCGTCGGAGATAATTCCGTGAAATATAATACTTTACTATTGCCTTAGTTGAGTTATGCCTCGTTTATGATGGTACATTTTGACAGTAGATTTACGGAGCACTAAAAACAGCTGTTTTATATTAGTTTATGAAAGTAACAATAAGACAATTACTCCGATTTTTAACGAGCGTTATTGTTATACTTGCCGCAAACGACACACGTGTATTGAATAAACGTGACTTTACAATCTGAATAATCGTAAATTGAAAAATTAATGACCCGTTATTTGGTCGGATTCCGTAAATATAGTGTCAAGGAAATATTTAAGTACTCAAAAAAGGAAAAATATATCGATTAACCATTTGGCAGTTAAGACTTTCTTTGATAATTGACAAAATGTGAATACATCGGGGGAATGTAAAAATTCTTTTTACATTGTTTTCAATCGATTGCAAGTATTGAAAGATCTTTTCTTAATTCTTTCATCCTTTTTTAACTCTTGTTCAACAATTATTTTGATTAATACGCGTCGATGTGTATTCTAAAATGTGTCGATCAAAAGCCAATTCAATTTGGTTCGACTCATCGTTGTATAGTGTTTATAAATTATTGAAAATTGGTGCAAATTGAATGACTGAAATGATCATCGATCGTCAAGAAAAAAAATAGCTAGACATTTTAAGTTAATTAGAATTTTAGCGCGTAGAATTTACAATTTGCATCGATTTTGTTGTTGTTGTTGTACTGAAAATGTTATTTTGTAAGAAAGATTTAATTCACCTATTACTTTGCTCGATTTTTCAGATATTAAAATTATTTTTATATTCCAAGTAGTAGCGATTTTTAAACACGTTTTCATGACTTGTTAAATAATTCGACAACCTAACAGGTTATCCCAAGAAACATAGAACATGTTTTATATTTGTTATATTCCGTTATTCGTTCTGAAATCTTGCAAAACTTCCACGGGATTCTAATGATTTTTAACCACGATCAAACTAGGTTTTCATTCAATCGACCTAAATAGTTCAGCAGTGGGTGTCTGGGTGATGAATATCAGGCGAACGACAGATTAAAAAATAATATAATAAAAGTTTATTTTACACGTACAAACGGAACACAACGCGCACGTAGGTACACAGTGTAAACGTGCAAACGGTCCTCTTTACATACTACTCCGGACGCCTATGCATAGAGAAAGAGTCGAGCGTAACACAATTACAGATCTAGCGGACGTTAATCCGTGAATAACCACGTCGAAACGAACAATAATAATCGTAATCTAATATTAACAGTTACAGATACGTACGCAGGTGGGTAAGCTAAGAATCGGGGCCAGAGCAGGTCCAACAGTGGCAGAGCTTCGTTCGCTGTCCCGACTATCGGATTTCCGATCTTTCGTACCTCTCATTCGAAAGAAGGGCCCCGGCGAGCATCGATTGTCACGTGTCGGCCACGAAAACATTCCGCGGCGACGTCAACGTATCAGTTCGATCGACGACACCACCGAAAGATCCTTTCAAAAGTCTTCGTTCGAGAAGGAACAGGTCGCGCGCAAACTTTCCTCCACTGTCGGATCACACCAAGATCGTGGCGAACAATCGATTCCGTGGCTTCGAAGGGGAACGCGTCGCGGGACGAACAGATCGCGCGCCGAAGACGATTTGCTGGTACAATGCAGAAATTTCGGGCGGGTTCACTGGGGGGTGGGGACGGGGGGGTCACTAGGACGTCTCCTGGAGCACAACGGTGCTGGAGCCAGGCACGGGGATCCCCGGCGGCGGCGGCGACGTCGAGACGCCCAAATTGTGGGTCAACGAGTGCCTCCTCAGGTCGCAGTTCCTACGGAACACCTTGCCGCAGGAGGCGCAGTGGTACGGCTTGATGTCCGTGTGGGTCAGCAGATGGGTCTTCAGGTTGCTCCTCTGGTTGAAACTCCTGGCGCAGACCGGACACTTGTGCGGCGACTCCTCCATGTGCAGGATCTTGTGCACCGCCAGGGTCCTGCTCTGGCAGAACCCTTTGCCGCATTCCGCGCATTTGAACGGCTTCTCCTTGCTGTGGATGTACCTGGAAAATGAAAGTACAGTGTCATTGTTGCTGTTAGAAGTTGCGCGTGACCGAAGAAGGTCTGTTCGGTCTTAGGGGATTTTCGTGGATCTGCGGACTAGCGATGCCCATTTCATCACCGGATGACACTGAGGAACAAAATGAGGACTGAGTAATGAGGACTACAGTAATGTCTCCCTAACTGACGCTCACATTGTGCACAAAAATGGACAATTTGGGGAGAGGAGATACGGTTATTTGAGCCTTGCGGCGCGTTTTTGTAATTGTTGACTTGCGCTACGAACTGTAGTTCGTAGACTTGGGCCAGCCAATGTCTGTTTCGCAATCGGCTGTCACGGGATGGCTGTTCGTGGATCAGCCAATCTTTATTTTACCAGAGGCTCGACACCAGAATTAAGAGATGCGTGGACTAGCCAAAGTGTGCTTTAGCTCTGAGTTGCCACTGCGAAGGGTGGGTTATGGTTTAATCTCGCAAGTCTTTAAGTAAAATAAAGTCTGGCACTTTCAAAGAATTTCATACGTTTTGAGCTGCAAAAGTATAGTAAATTCTAATCGACGCTCAACTTGGAATCAAAGATGGATATTTTGGGAGAGGAGGTAGGATTATTCGAGCCTTACGGCTCGTTTTTATACTTGTTGACAATCGGTAACTATAAAACGAGCCGCAAAGCTCGAATAATCGTATCTCCTCTTTCCAAATTGTCAATTAGGGAGAATTTAGATTGTTGAATACTTTTAATTATTATATCGTTTTACTAGCATTCGGAATCAAAGAGTGTGTGGCTTGAATAATCGTATCTCCTCTTTTCAAATTGTCAATTAGGGAGAATTTATATAGTTGAATACTTTTAATTATTATATCGTTTTACTAGCATTCGGAATCGAAGAGTGTGTGGCTTGAATAATCGTATCTCCTCTTTCCAAATTGTCAATTAGGGAGAATTTATATTGTTGAATATTTTTAATTATTATATCGTTTTACTAGCATTCGGAATCGAAGAGTGAGTGACTGGATAAGTGAAATAGACGCGATATACTAATAGTAAAGTATAGTATATTGTCGAAAGGATTAAGACTTTACAATTGAGTGGGTCAAAGTCACAGTAATATAAGTCACATTTTCGAAAATTTTAATTTATGACTTAGAATTTGATCCACATATATGTGTCAAAATGTTACAAAGACAAGTGAAATAAATTATATAGTTACTACAGATTAAGTTAACTCTAAATTATCGTAACAATAAATTTGGATAGTAAACAATATATATGTTAATAAACGATAATAATCCTTATTTCTCACAATGAGGAAAATTCTATATTCCGCGCTATCGATTTTGAGACACCGATGAATGGGTTGGGAGGGGGGGGGGGGTATATAATTCATACGGCCTAACAGTAATTATACTCGACGACCACCGAATTTGTGGTCATATTATATTACCAAAATTCTATTTATGCGTTTAAATTAACTGTTTACGTTCTGTCTGTATTCTGTTGACATGTGTTGCTTTATAAACTTTATAAGATTCAATTTATTTAAATTTCTCACAATTTTTACAATATTGTACGCCTGAGCAAAGACGTATGTTCAATAATTTCCAATGGAAGCAGCTTTATGATTTCAATAATTATAAAATAAAAATTGCGAAACCAGTAATTTAATCGGCGGTGGTACACGTTTGGTGTTAATGAAACTCCATAGGACGCACGTGACTCCCAGAAAAAGGCCAGAAAGTCTTAAAAATATTGTAGGTCTTTAACGAAGCGATTCTTCAGATGATTTGAAATAACGTTTTCCGTAACAAAAATGTTGATTGTGATTTTGTGAACGAGCTGTTAATGTAGAACATGGGCCAATCAGAGAGCGGGTACGGCTGACGCTCCGCCCTCGCGACCAATGTCGTGTTGAGCTCGCTATTGCCCCAATACGTGTCAGCCGTACTCGCTTTCTGATTGGTCCGTGTTTTCTCGGCGATAACTGGCTAACAAAGCTACGTCTGCGTACAAAATATAGTAAATATACTATCATCCATGCGTCGTTCACGTATGGATGACACGAATTTTCGACTAATTCTCAACATTTATTTTTATTCCAATATATTCGAACACAAGCTGAATTTTATTAGGATGCTTAAAATAAAGCACAAGAGTTGAAATATCAACCACTACGATCAGTTTTAACACTTGCTAATTTCAGATTCATTAATTAAATAACTTTGATTTTGTGAGTATTTTAGAGGTTAATTTTTGACATTTTAACCACTTGCACTATAACGCAGTGTCAGACTTGTGATAAATATGTCGAACAGAATCTACTACGATATTCTTTTTCTTTTCAATCGAAATAAGATTTAATTTGTCTGTTATCAATGCTTAATCATGAGAATCAGAGTTGGGGGAAAATTAATTTGCTTGATGATTGACGATTATAAATCGTTAGTTATTATAACTAATGATATAATAATTCGGTAAAAAGTAATCGTTGTAACTAATTTATAATAACTAACCAGTTACAATCGTTAATCATTGGTCAGATTACTTTTTGCTCAATTATTATAAATTAACAAGTTCTTTTGAAATAATCATTTAAAAGATAATTATCAAGTTTTTCTTACACAGCTCAGTAATTGAAAAACTTATTAGTAGGCTTCCGGTAAATCAAGAGTTAAATATGAATGTTATTCTGTTCTCTTAAGCCCCCTGATAAAATTCCGTTCCCTTATCATCAGTGTTTAAGTATTCGAGTAAATGTGGACACAGAATAAATATCAATTTTCTTCTTCTTTCCAGAAAATATTACAATCGAAAATGTTCTAATCGTTGTAACTATAAAATAAATGGTAAGACAAGTTGTTAAGAGTTGTGTGTTGTTTTTATAGAAAGAAATGTTAGCTACAAGAAATTCTTTGGGAAGCGTTCTCATGGAAAAAAGAGAATATTATGAGTAAACTATGGATCTTCGTGCGAAATAAATATTGTCTAAGTCAATTGTGAGAAATGTAAGATTCGATGAAAATGTCTTTCCTCTCTTTTAATAATTATAATAAGTTGAAAATAATTTAGCAGTATCTTTGAAGTTCCCTAATGCCTCCACAGTAACTTATTCAATCGTATCATAAATGCATAAATCCCGCAGTCTAATTATGACAATGCTCATAAAGTTCCTATGGAGTTGTGTTATCTTAGAATGTTCGTTTCAACTGAACATTGCAAATGAATTGTCATCGATAAAGAAATTTTATAAATAAAAAGTTATTTACATAAATCGTTATTGCGAATTATATTAATGCAAATATTCCAACTAACTCATGTACTCGGAATATGAATTTAACTGCAATAATTATTTAATATTGTTCCGATACTGTTCATCGAATAATTCCTTTATTTGTATTATAATTAAAACGTTGTTCTATGCGTATTTTACACGTAGTATTCAATCGCTCCTTAGGCGTTCCTTATTGGAATTTATAATTTTTAATTAATAATGTTTAACGTCTGTGTTTCACAGACTACGTTTTAAATATAACCTATTAAATAGTTTCGTAGTTGTTTCGATTCCTGAATAAAATTTGAAGTTCCGATTCTGTTGTCTGCTTTCAGGCTTAGATGATTTGTCATAATTTGTAATCAGACAAATAGTGCACAAGTACACTGCACAACACATTTGTTTGTGCTGTTTTAACACGAAAATTCAGTGTCAAAATTGTCACACAATGCCGGAATATTTATTTCCGATGATTAATGTTGTAACATCGTTCCATGATGGAATTATATTCATTCTGATACAAAATTATTTGTGATAGCTTTTCGAGAACGAACATGCGAGTACTATGCGAGCAACTAATATAGCATGAAGGCTAGAATTTAGTATGCTACCAATTGAACCATCGTCTTCTTGAAATTCTTGTAACAATCATTTTACGCTACCAAAAATATTTACGATTGATATATACTATTTGATACCAACAAAAATTAACAACAATAAAACTCGCACTGTGACGGTATTAAAAACAACTATGTATCACAGAAACGTTCCTATACGATTATCATACTCATCATTTCAATCAGAAATATTAACAAGATTAACGAACAAAGATCGACAAGATTAAAATTATGATTTTACAGAGAACAAACAATCAGCAAGTATGTCAAAAGGAATACAGTTCTCCATTAAAAAACTGTAACAAAGGGAAACAACGAAATGAATATTTTACCAAGGAATTGAAAGTAAACAGAAAATTGTAATAGTAATAGAGAATCTGATTATAAGTCATACCGACGTCTCAGCATTCGACAAACGCTGTGCTCCATGCGGCAAATTCGTTCCGCCAATCACATCTTATCAAAACATAAACCAAACTCATATAATTCACCGTTGATTACGTCGCGATCATCCATCACGCTTGTAATTTAATTTACATGATTGCCTTTAATTTGGAATGAAGCATTCGCGCGTGAAAGCAGGATAGAAATTTAAAGTCACGCGAACAACTAATTCGCCAATTTACGGGCGATCGTGCCGGCGAACGGTTACCGTCAATTTCAATGGCTCTCTAATGAGACGAAAACACTCGCGACGGTAATTCCGTTAGAGCATGTAACCACCTCGACGATCCGAACAGAAAGAAAAGAAAAAAAGAAGAAGGCGTGTACTACAAACGAGATGTACGCAAGCCGACGCAACGAGGGTACTAGAATTTTCGAACGTAAGTGCACCGCAGACCAATTAATGAGAATTGCAGACGTATCGATGGATGTCGTTGTGATTGATGATCAAGATACGAAAAGCTCGATAAATTATCACGAGTCGATCAACGTAATTAATACACTGCCGTGGTTACGGGCGCCGTCGTAATTACAGGATAGGCAAAACAGACGCGGGCATTATTTTGTCGTATACAGCTGCCGCAAAGATTGCAATCAATTTAACCGCGCCGCGGAAGAAAGCGCGTTACCAGGCACTCTGATTGGCCTAACCACTTCGCCGGCGTTCGTTTCGCTGAGCCAACAAGGGCTCGCGCGAACACCGTGCGTTATCTTCCGCGTTTCCTTCGCGCTGAGATCCTCGCGACGATGGCTTTCAGTTATCTTCGGAGAACATTTTTCCGAACGGTAATTTGGGGTTAATTGGCACGATCGCGCGATGGTTCGTCATGTAGATAATTGGCTCTTGAACGTTCAGGAGGACAAGAGGTCCTTTATTTCACGGCTATGTCATGTTTTCGTCGAGAATCGACACAACAGGTAAAGAGCACTGAAAGTTAAAATATTTTCATTCGATTCTACATCGATTTTAAAGGTTTCGTGAGTTTGAGAATTGCAGAGATGCTTATTACACTGCTATATTACACAGCTATGTCATGTTTTCGTCGAGAATCAACGCAACAGGTAAAGAGCACTGAAAGTTAAAATATTTTCATTCGATTCTACATCGATTTTAAAGGTTTCGTGAGTTTGAGAATTACAGAGATGCTTATTACACTGCTCTCCTTAGTTAAATTGTTCCAACTAACGTTTCTCGAGAAATAAATTTTTAAATGAATCAAATTATTTTGAGATATAAGTGGAAACAAATAAACGGAATTACATTTGGGATTCTATGAAGTTTATAGAATATTTTTTAGGTTTGTGCCTAAAAGTTAAAAGGCACGCGATGTTCCAAATATTTTTAAATTTCCTGAAATGTGGCAAATTAGTAAACAACATTTTAGCTAAGGACGGTAATACAATTGATTGTAACTTCGAAGTTGTATACTAATTTATCATGTTTTAATTTCATGTAATTTTTAGCTACAATGTGGTATTGTATTCCGTTGTTTCTCCTTCTCGCCTTTTTCAAATATTGCAAATTCGTCATTAATTTATATGTAAAGTTTGTGTTCCTATATTTACTGATTTCAAGTTACAACAATTAGTTTAAATTCGTACAAAAATGTTGGCCTGCAGAAGGTTAACACTCGAACTACCGATTTCTAAACGCGACTAATATTTTTTGTATATTGTTTCAATAATAATGTAACAATGGTAAAATTGTATTTATGATACGTGCTTAAATAAAAAAGTTTTTCGACCAATTTCTCATAAAAGGATTTTTATAATTTCAGTAATAATAAAAGAAAAACTTAAAAAGCGATCAATTTCAGAGTTTAGAAGTTCTAGTGTTAAAGTAAATAATAAAAAGAATAGAAAGTTAAAATATTTTGGTTCGATCCTATATCGATTCTAAGGGTGATTTTGTAAGTGTGATGGTCACAGAAATATTAGTTGTTTGATATTTATCAAGGAACGTCGAAGTTTACCGCAACTGTTGACGACCGCATGAAATGTTTCCAAAATTACTGCAATTCTCAAAAATATTGTTTGAACAATTTCAGTGAAGTATTGTAAAGTATTACAAAAATATATTTCAATGACTATAAGTCCCAAAAATTGGTTACAAGTTCCTGAAATTACTATGTTGCAACACGAATAAGTTCGATTGAAAGGTTAAACATATTCAAGTTGTAAGTATGCAGGCATGACTCATTTGAAATGCACGTAGCATGATTATACAATAGACCGATTATAATTCCGCACTTGGAATCAATGCATCTGGAAGAAAATATTTGTGTGGCGCTCTGAGATTTTGAAAACAAATTACTTCTTCGAAGTTTCGATTCTACTATGTATGCACTCTACTTTCGCACATTTTTAATAAATAAAATATCTGTCGTAGTCAAAAATAATTATGTTACGTAGAAATAATTTATATGATACGAGAACACGTAAGTACTCAAATTACAATATTACTATCGATTATCCAATTGATCGAACATAATTGTGTGAATAAATTCAAGAAGATATCGATGATAGTCCAACCGATGAACTCAAGAATTTGTTATAAACAGCTGATAAGTTATAACTCAAATAAGTAGCATTGAAAAGATAAAGATGTTCTAATTGTTAGAACCCAGTTCTTATTAAATGAAAGTGCACGCAACATGATCGTACAATCAACCCTTTGCACTCGAATGTCCCCACTCAGAGGACATAACTAACCGCGATAATTATGGTAGTTTTTAAATCAATAATTTTTGTCTCAAAAAGTCTGCATAATAAATAAAGGAGAATAAAACCTGGATAATAAAGAAAAGAAAAGAAAAGAAAATCTGTATCATAAATGAAAGAAAATAAAACCTGGATAATAAATGAAAGAAAAGAAAGTCTGTATCATAAATGAAAGAAAATAAAACCTGGATAATAAATGAAAGAAACGAAAATCTGTATCATAAATGAAAGAAAATAAAACCTGGATGATAAAGAAAAGGAAAGGAAAGGAAATCTGTATCATAAATGAAAGAAAATAAAACCTGGATAATAAAGAAAAGAAAAGGAAAGGAAATCTGTGTATCATAAATGAAAGAAAAGAAAATCTGTATCATAAATGAAAGAAAAGAAAATCTGTATCATAAATGAAAGAAAATAAAACCTGGATAATAAAGAAAAGAAAAGGAAAGGAAATCTGTGTATCATAAATGAAAGAAAAGAAAATCTGTATCATAAATGAAAGAAAAGAAAATCTGTATCATAAATGAAAGAAAATAAAACCTGGATAATAAATGAAAGGAAAGGAAATCTGTGTATCATAAATGAAAGAAAATAAAACCTAGATAATAAATGAAAGAAAATAAAACCTAAATAATAAAGAAAAGAAAGGAAAATCTGTATAATAAATAAAAGAAAATAAAACCTGGATAATAAATAAAAAAAAAGAAGAAAATCTGCATGATAAATGAAAGCAACTAAAACCTGAATAATAAATAAAAAGAAAATCAAATCCGTACCGCTACAGTCTCATCAAATTTTCTTTAAACAATCAAATTATTCCCAGCGTTCTATCGTTTCATATATTCTTGAAGCGACTAAATACGTTCGGGATTTTGGTATAATATCCCCAACAATGATCCAAGTGCAAGGGACTATTTAAATAAGATTCCTCGCTTCATGAATAAATAGTGAAGTCCGCCGACCATAACCGTGCCCATTCACGCTCTACCGTGATACTCGCCGCCTGCGACGATAGAACAAAGACTGCCGGTATCGATCTCCCGTTCGCAATTCAATTCCATCGATTGTCATCGCCTACGTCTTAGCCAGGGAACTAACCATCGGCCCCGGCGTGGCGATAAAACGCGGGCCCGTTCCGATCAGAAGTGAATCGAAGCACAGCGATAAATCAGCGCGGCGATCGCGAACGTCCGCTTACCTATGGTCCCTGAGGTGATCCTGCCGTCGGAAGGCCTTTCCGCAAATGTCGCAAGAGTACGGTCTCTCGTCGGTGTGGGTTCTCTCGTGTATCAGCAGGTTGTAGCTCTTGGTGAACTGCCGGCTGCAGAACTTGCAGATGAACTGCTTCTTCGGCCTGGAGGCCCTGCATGTCCTGGGTATACTGGACTCGACGGAGGTGGTGGTCGCCTGAAGCGGCGACGACGAAGACAGGGACGAGGAGGACGACGACGAGCAGGCCGACGACGAGGCCGGCGACGTGAACGAGGTGGCGACCTGCGTCGAGTTCGTCGACTGGGACGCGTTGCTGACGGTGCCGGTATTGGCCCGGTTCCCATCCGCTATCCGTCGCAGGAGAGTCTCCTGGTTGGAGTACGTCGTCGCGACGGAGGTGTCTCTGAGCAGAACTTCCTGTTCCTCGAGCAGCGCCAGGTTCTCTTCGGGGTCCTCGATGAACTCCAACCGACCCTCGTCCTCGTCCTCCTGCAGCAGCCTCTCCGCCGCCAGGTGGTCGTTCTTGGACGGCGAGGCGGACGCCAGCGGGTTCTCCAGGGCCACGTTAATCGGCGAACACCTCTGATTCCCGGCGCCGGCCAGTCCCGTCTGGGCGACACCGGGCGCCGCACTGCTCGCGTGAAGACGATGAAGGGTCAAGTACGTCTCCAACGCCTGGAGGTTCAAGGCGGCGGCGGCGGCGTGTCCGGGCGGAAGCAGCGCTGCTCTCTGGAGCGCGGCGAGCAGGGCTCCCTGGAGGCCAAGGGCCACGCTCTGTAGCGTGAAACTAGGCAAAGCCGCATCGTTGACACTGGCCACGTCCCGCAATTCCGCGGTGGTCGGCGTGGACGTCGACGAGGACGACGCCACCATCACGGCGCCCCGCTCTTGGTCCTGCTCCTGCTGTTGTTGCTGCTGTTGCTGTTGCATCCTACCCCTCTGCTGGACTTGTCCTGGGTCAGGGGCTGCCGACGTGTTGCCGGCACCATTGGCGGGGGTTGTCGATCGGCTCTGGGCAGCTCCGGTCTGTCACTTGGGTAAGTCCGATTCCGTTCACTAGCCGGTCAACGGGTCCGGGTGCGATGCACCGGGCCTCATGCTCGGTTCTTGCCACGCTCGAATCGCGAGATATCGCGAGGGGATGTCCGCGGCAGGGTGGACGAAGGAGGAAACGGCAAAGAGAAAAGACGCGTGCGATGCTGGCGGTGCGGAGGCGCCCCGACGACTGCTCCTGCCTCTCGCTGCTGGGCACTGCTCGTGGAGACACCTGGTGGCAGGTATCCGAGGCGAGCTGGGACCGTCCGCGCGGAACGGGCCCCGGATTCTGGAGAGAGAGCCCCACAGCTGGCCCGCAATTGCTCGCCGTTTCAGCGTAAACGGCGTCGTTCGTAATCTCGCGTGTACGCGTGACTGCGTGCGTAGCTGCACGCGTGCGGGGCCTGCGTTACCGGACCATAGGGGACAACCCCTGATTCCTCCTCCTCCTCCTCCTCCTCCTCCTCCTCCACCTCTTTCATCTTCTTCTTCTTCTGCTTCTTCTGCTTCTTCTTCTTCTTCTTTTCCTCTTCGCCATCTCTTCCCGTTCCTCCGCCTCCTCCTACACCCTATTCTACCTCGTACCTTCCCCTCTCGACCGCCCCTAACTGCGTTATGATTTAATTCTTCTGCCGCTGGGAATTATGAAGCCGATGCACCCGACGCTTTTATGGATCGCCACCACCGAACCGTTCGAACGCGGCACATTTTTTTCGTCGCTTCTCGCGGCAGCCTGGTCGCGGTTCTCGGAAAACCTGATGACGGGTTTAGAGGGATTAGTGCGGACCGCTGCGCCCGCTCGCGGTGACGGTCACTTCGTGATTTATTCGGGCCGGAGAACCGCGGTTAGAACTGATAGAACAGGGTTTAAGTATGATGATCGGATGAATTAAGGGAGGGAGGGGGGATCTGGTTCGAGACGCTGAGATAGCAGCGATTTTTAAGAATTTGTTGCTCGATGACTATAAATTGAACTTTCTTAACGCTTTTTAGAGGGCTTTTATAGGTTTTGTAGTTTTTATAGGTTTTATACCGTATAGTTTGGTAGGTTTTATAGATTTTCGCGGTCAGACAGTACGAACAAATTTTTGCACTAACGAAAAAGTCTTTTGACACTAGGTTTACGGAATCCGTCAAAATGACGGGTTGCTAATTTGTTAATGTACGATTATTCAGATCGTAAAGATACGTTTATGAGTTATTTATTCAATTTATTTGTCACTTGCGGCAAATATTACAATAACAGTCGTTAAAGATCATAATAAATGTCTGATTGTTACATTTATAAAATAATATGAAACAGCTGCTTTAAGTGTTCCATAAATCTAGCGTTAATATTGCTATTAATTTACACATATTTTTGATGAGTATTACTATCGATTTGTGCCAAAAGGGAAATAGAAAATTACAGGTTTGCTATATCAACTAATTGCAATTTTCACAAAAACAATTGAACTTTTTGTGTGGTCCCTCTATAACGTCTTAAACGAATTCAAGTCATTTGGTACAGTTTTTAAAAAGTTATTTCCGTTTAGAAAAAGCCCGAATATTTTGACGCGCGTGACTGTAAAGGTCGAGGCATACTAATATTACGTCAAGTGAAATCATGTGATATTCGAACAGTGCGAGCCTCTGTATTTTTATTACCTCAAATCTGTTGGTAACAAATCGGGATCACGTGACGCTGTTCATACATTGTCACGCGTGGACGGATTTCACGTATTATTTTTCCTATGACTTTTCACGCGTTTTCGCGTGACGTGACATTACTATGTTTCCACCTTAAGTGTCACGCGTACGCTTCGCTTATGCATTGTTTTCAGAAGCGAAGGACAATGGTCCACCGTAAAGTTCATTCGTTTATGTCATCGCAGTAACAGTTACCAACGTCACACGTGTGCAACGCTGGGCTGTGCGAAGGAATCGTTGTGCGACACGTATGCGACGCGTGGTTGTGAATGTGTCGAGTTATGTTGTTTAATTAATAATTAATAAACTGGAATTCTTGTGCTGTAAATTAATGATGCAAATGGAGTTTTATTTCGACACACTCATCTTTCTCAAAACATGAGTAGATTTTTTAAATGCGAGGGAACGTGTCAATGAACAAGATCTAATTGTGTTCTTATATTATTTTTATAATAAGTAATCTTTTACTCGGCGAAAGAAACTTTTCTTCAATTCTAATCTTTGTAAAATGACCTACGAAAATAATAATGTGCATAAAGATTCGCAGTGCATTGCCAATAGTTTGGGAATAGTTTGTTGAAAACAATTGAATCGAACATAGAGTCACGAACATTATGTGAGCCGTTTATTTTGAAAGTGGCATAAGTCATTTTACTGTAATGAAAAGTGGTGACTTTTTAATGTTTATACGAAATTATTTATACTGAGAAAAATATCAGTATCCTGAGATAACAAATACAAGTAAATCTTCTCGAAAGTTAGCATCCATATTTTTAAAAGTGTTAAGACACAAACCCTTAAAATTTAAGAGAGGGTTTATATTTAATATGTCGACTTAAAAACAAAGTGACTTATGCCACTTTCAAAATAAACGGCTCATGTTATAAGAATGATCGAAATATAAAACGACAGACGTGAATTTTTTCACACGATCATATAAAGAACTGTCAATTAATAGAAACATTCAATTCACGCAATAGGTGCACAATACATTACGCAGACTATTATTACGCAAGGTCTATTAATATTTATTACTAGTCTGCAGGTTTTCATGCGGTTATGTCATCTGCGAATTTATGAGATCTGAAGGAACAGCTGCTGTATATTAATAAAAGTGGATGGTCTTTTCATGTTATTTTTACTGGATGGCACCTGCTAGTCAACAAAAGGAATTGTTTTTTCTTTCTGAGTTTTATCAAATAAACTATGAATAAAAAAATCCGCAATTTATTTGTAACAATAGAGTTGCGAACGAGAGTAATATTATTTACAATTAAATTATGCATATTGAACACCAATTTCGTCCTAACTTAATTCGGAAAATATTATTCCTTGCCCAATCGATACCGATTTACTTATGAATCATGTTCCAAGCTTGGCCAAGGAACTGATTTAATCTTCCTCATTACTTCTTCATTTTATAAACATTATATTAAGTAGTATTAAATGATACTTTCTATCGAAAAGGTATGAAGTTTAAAGTGTGCAATAAATAGTTTGCAAATTAAGTGTTTTGCCTACGACACTAATTTGTTGATTCTACTCGGAAGTGTTCTTCTTATTTATAGAAAAATCAGTTTAGTACAACAGGAAAAGATAAAGAAGAGTAACATGTATTACACAATTAACTAAACTATGTTTTTTATATGTTTTTAGGATCAACATACATGAAAATATAAAGGACACAAAACTCGGTGTAATGCGATTTTTATTCGTATCGATAGTAACCCAGTGTTAGCCTGCTGCACAACGTTATTTTTTATTTACTGCTCGGAGATTTATCCACTGATTACTATCGATTCATGATTTAATATCTCATCCCTTTGTTGATCTTCAAATATGTTCAAAACTCACACTTTCCAGCCACTTTAATACTAAAACAACCAAACCTGTACCCCAATGACAGATTTTAGATACACTGTTTAAAAATAATCGAAATTGTAGAATTGCTTTCGTAGATAATTAATAGATACGCCTATTTTCTAAGGCATACTTTTTGCTAAAAATCCTAGAATGTCTCGATAAATTCGGTCTTATCTTTATAAGGCAGAATACACTTTTCGCTTTTAACACTAGAATTACCGACGATTGACGTATACCTACTTCTACCAGACGGGTCAGAATGACTTATTTTTTAAATTAATAAGTTATAACATATATAAATAATATATAAATTAATAACATAATTCATATAATTAATATATAAATATAATATATGAATTAAATTATATTTTTACATATTTCTCTATTTTATGAGCGAAAATTGAATGTAAACGGAATAAAAATAATAACATAATAACAATCATCTTTAAAATAATTACCCTTACTTTTTGCACATGGTAAGAATACAATTTGCTGCTTTGTAAAGTATCGTCGAGAAGCGGGGCATATTATTCTTTTTTGATTTTGCAAGCTTAGGTAATTCACTCTTATTTTGTCTAATGGTGCCAACTAAGGAAGTTTTTCTAGGTAGCAGTTTTGTTGCTAATGACAAACTTGTAAAGAAATTATCTGTTGTCACTGTTCTCCCGCAATCAATATATGATTCCATAAGTTTTAGAATAAAAAAATTTATCCAGAGATACGGATAATCTCATTTCATCTTTTCCTAAGTAGGGAAATGCATTTACAAGATATTTACTGTTTACATCCGACGCCAACCAGAATTTTATACTAAACTATCTACATTTGACTTTGGTTGGAAATAATTGTTCATCAACTGTAATGGCAGCTTCTGGTTTATATCACATTTGGCTATTTTCAATGGATTTATACACACTTCTAAAACCAATGCAAATTGATCGGTTTGCAAACGTTGACTTCTTTCATTTTTCATATCAACACGAATTAGCCGAAGAATTTCGGTGAATTTATTCCTGCACATTGTTTTAGAGAAAAATTCAGGACCCCGTGTTTTTATAAACGCGAAAAATAGCACACAACGTAACAATATTTATTTGGGTAGATTGCTGAATCAATTTAATCAAGTATAATAAATTGGCGATTGTCGAGTATCGATAACTATAAAAAGGAGTCGTAAGACTCGAATAATCATATCTCCTCTTTGTGTACAATCCTTCCTTTTTTGTGTACAATCTGAGGATCAATTAGGGAGAATTTACTGTAAATTCATTTCGATGGAGTTTTCTAGTCGAATAGACTTCCTTTAATTTTCTATAAAGAATAAGATGAACATATTACGGTTATTGTTAATATACTTTGTAACAATTATATGGAAATTGTACTAATAAATTCAATTTTAAAATCAATATTATCAATGTTACAGAAATAATTAAATTATGACTAAACTAAACTGTGTGAATCTTTCTACAAAAACAATATTTTCTACATCCGTTACAAAGAACAGATGTTACTTACGAATTTTTCTCTCCCTTTAATAACATTAGCAGAATGAAAACAATGCAATCATACCCTTTAATTATTTTAATTTGTCTACTGCTCTAAAGTGCGCCTGCTTATTTTTACCCGCGAAAAAAGCGCCGCGTAAATTGAGGGTGGAGCGTAATATGTCATTCTAATATGTATTTTTATACAAAATAAAAATGTTTATATTGTCTAAAATATGCCCAAATCATCTATTTTTGTGCACAATCGGAGCGTCAATTAGGGCGTCAAATATAGATACAGGAGCTAAGCAGACGTTAATTGCTTTGCTCAATAATTCTAATAAATTGAC